GGCCCCCCCCCAAATCCCACCAGCCCCCCCTCTCTCATAAAAAATGAACGGTCCCTAACGGAAGAACTAAAATATTAACACTTTTTGCACACGAGGCAACCGAGCTAAGAAGCGAGGTTGACTCGGCGGCAGAATTAGAACGCCTCGCAATGTAGGCAAAGACTCTCAAATTCTGTGTAACCCTCTTAAATTTGCATTTTTTTGACCACATTTGGGTGTAAGTATGACCCCATATTTGGGTAGTGACGTCATGGTCTTGTATTTACAACTCGCACCTCGTGATCAGTGTGGAGCGCTTCGTTGTGTGTTCTAGAGGACCTAACAGGTGAGGAAGCTTTAATACCATTTCTAGTTTGAAAGGGCAATTAGTGCTCTGGTTTGATTTTTAAATTGCGTTTAGAGCAGCAGCTGATCAAGGAATAGGTTTTATTTACTCAAATTTTTGTCAGAACCAGCTTGTTCTTTGCAGCTCGATTTACATTGAGGTAGCGTGTTCGCTTCTCGACTCAGAACCAGGGTTTTCAGTGTTCTCTTTTCCTTCGTGAATTGAATTTTAAGCGGTAAATGATCAAGGTATAGGGTTATATTCGCAAAACGTTTATCATTATGCCTTTCAAGCGACTCTTTGTCCTGTGACACTCGCTCATCAGATCTTTGTGTTATATTCAAATTGATATTTTTATACCTCTGACACGTTCCGACCCATTCTTGCGCTTTTCAAGCATTTTACCTTACTCCAAGTTTTTCTTATCTGTTAAGAGCAACTCCATCCAAATATCGACCAAAGTGCGGCAAGGCTCAGAAAATAAAAATCGCTCTTCTTTTGCATACTGATAGACTTAAGTAAGTGTACAAACGCCATGTAGTTTTTTCTTCGAAAGATCTGTTCGTTTCCGAGAAAAACAAGAAAACCGTTTCAAGCCCTGGCGGCGATTTCGCAAGCCGAAAACAGGGTTGAAATTCACTATGATTCGTTCGACTTGCATTTCAAAACAACCGCGCTAGAAAAAAAGCTTGTTGCTAAAATTGTAAGTATAACTCGTCGTTGACCAAAATATATAATATTTTTAGCATTACAACAGTCTGAGTAATTATAAAAAAGCTAAAGCGTATGTCTACCTGTTGTTCAACCACGGAAGGTAGTTGAAAAAAGCGACGATTTTCATCATGTGCCTTTGATCAAAATTTTTCAAGATTGAAGGGGAAACACTACAAGCATCAAAATATTATGTTATGTAAAAATTATTTCGGGGAAATCATTTTGAGCTTCTCAGAAATTATTTGAAATTCGTGTTACGGACAACATAAAATAACGCCATCCAACAATGAGTCACACGACCACCACCAACAATTTGACTTTAGGTTTCCGTTTACAATGCTGGTAGCCTTGATATATAGAAAAATTTTTTAAAAAGCTCACCTTAACCTGTATCGGTTGTACTTCAAGCTCCAAGTTGTTTCATTTTGCCGTCTTATCACCTATGTTACCGTAGTCGTGAAGTCCGCTGGAATGTGTGCGTCGGAGGTGCGTGACAGCTTTCTGGTAATTTCCGTTATCCCTCTGTTTTCTCTAATGTTTTCAAGTTAACATCTCATGTTTGTTAAAAATTTTGAGAACCCTGGACCTTAAAAAAGCCGTCTATAAAATAAAGCTCGGTAGTTTAACAAAGCAAAGTTGCTTGCTCGTGGATCCGTTCACTTCAATAATCTCATTTGCATAGGAGTGTGCCAAGGGTCTACTTCCGGTGATATACACGTGACGAGCTTCACCGACTCCAGTACACTGAAGAAGATTCATCTTTTATACTCCTCCTTCTTCAAAAATACTCCAGATGACATTATTTTACCCGATAATTATCTTTAATATTTTGACATTTTAGGCATTTGATTAACATTATGGAACTAAATTTAGTTTCATTTGATTCAGCCGTTCATTCCCACTTGAAAAAGAAAAAGATCTTTGCATGCACTGTTTGCGGGCGCTCTTCTTCGAAGAAGCTATGGAAGGTTCGTGCTCCTTCGAGTCATTAGTAGGTACTCTGTGTAACCAAATATTGTATATATAATCAGTTCTCTGTAGCTTTTATTCTTCACTCCATTAAAGCTTATTTCTTCACATGTTCATATTTTAGAATTCTGTACTCTGGTCTACACTTAAAGGATTCATCGACATCAATCCGCGTAAAAATTCGATGATCTACACTCAATCCACACACTCGATCAGCTCCACGACTCCGAACGACTACACAGTTCTAAGACTCTTGCAAAAAGCTCAGTTTTCAGATCACGTGACGAGTTTTCCCGCCACAATGACGCAATAATTTCTAACACACTCCCCGCCTTGATTGACACAGGTCAATCAACAACGAAACGAATAAAATAACAAATGAAAGAAAAAGAGTTTGCTGTTCTTTGACTTAATGTTAATGTTCACTAACATGTTCCTGTTCAGCATTTCCCACGAAGGTAATAGGGAAATCAGTGTTTCTGTTCTCCATTGTGCATGAATTGTTCATGGCACTTGAGGATCACCAATCTCGTAAAGCAATGTTCTCTTGGCAGAAGCACAGGAAATTTGGTATCATA